ACTTTTGGAACTGGTGGTAACTCGGTGATGTGAGGCAGCTCACTGTCTGTCGCTTGTGGAAGAGGAGGATTTCTCGTCCGAGTTCTTCCCTGCTTTGTGTTCCTGTGCTTCTGTTCCTTTGGAGAAAGAGAAAAGAAGGCCATTTTGATCAACAGTGGCCAATCGAGTCAAGCTTTTTCCTGTCGGCGTGAGAGCAAATTAAGGCGCTAATCCGGTGGAGTTGCTAATTATATATATATAATAGTTTATTGGATATTTTTCTTGGCACAACATTGGGTGATTGTGATGTCAATTACAATCACGTGGATCGTCGTCTTCCCCACAGAATACGGCATGCAGCGTTGCATCCACATGACTTGCCGCTGAATCCCTCGACATTCCCTGACCTACTTAATTCAATAATTATACATTTTTGTTCGGAAATAATTCGATAATTACAAATTACCAGTCTCTAGTGAAGAAGAACATGAATGTCCAGATCAACAGACATTGGTTGGTAATTGGAAAGGTGTGTGGTTTAGTCATTGATTAGGCGCTGTAAGCAACGACGGTGGCGACCCAAGTCTTGTGTTCCGCCACCATGACTCCTCCTCAAGAAGAAACCTTTTTCCTCGTCTCTCTTTGCCAAAAAGCATACAGCAGAGGAACAGGAACAACATGGAGTGACCAAACTTCCTTCTTTGGGATCCTATACGTGATCATTGGCAGCAAAATGACAGCAGTGACAATCGTCGGTGTTCTATGAACTGCAATGCCCCGCGTCAAGAACGCTTGTCACTCGTCGGTCTTGCATGAAAGCAGAGAAGCATACTTCCAAGGAAGTCGTGTTCTTCTAATCTACTCGGTATTGTCGCAAAAGTTGTCCTTTTACTCTGTTCCTGGTAAAAAAACTCGTTCCTTTCACCAGTTGCGTAATCATTCCTACCAGCAGTAACAAGACAAAACAGGGATTTGCTTTACCTTGCCCTAGCTGCTTCCCATGCTCTTCCTTTTCTTCTTCCTGTCTTCTTTACTCTGACCTGTGGGTTGCGTTTTTCCTGTGGTTCACACCGCCACCTCCCGCCCTCTTCTTTGTCTCATTCCGTCCGCTGCGGTGGTTTCTTTCGCTTTATCTGTCTCTCTTGTTGTTTCTCTGCTCTTCTTTGGTTGCTGGAAGAGGTAGATGTTGTAAGGGGAATGGGGATGGATTGGGAACCGTGGCCGCCGTTGCAGCGCAAGAGCAACCACGTTTTCGTCAAGCTTCTCGTCCTCGTGCTTCTCCTCGGCCTCTCCTTCCGCCTCCTCTTCTCCCGCTCCGCCGTGTTCCTCCCCGTGTCGGAGTCACCCGCCGCCGTGGCCGAGACAGCATCCTCCACGGCGGTTGTTGTCGGCGTCGTCGGGGATGCAGAGCCGCGCGAAGGTGCGGGGTCTTTTGCTCGAAAGATTTAGTCTTTGGGGGTTGGGGTTGGACGAATTGCTTGATCCGCGGCTACGGAATTGAACAAGGAACCTAAAGAAGAGGTTTCTTTTTGGTGTCATCTATCGTGTTTTCTCTTGATAGAACGGCCAAAGAATCGATCGTGGAGGCTTTCGATGTTGGATATCTTGAAATAAAACAAATCTGCATTTTTTGCAGTGGAAAGATCTGATCTTTAGAAAACAAGAAGCCGTGTTTTCTTCTAGATTTTGTCGCGGAGAAAACGATTTTCCAATTGTTGTGATTTAGCTTATAGAACCAAGATTTAGATCGGTTTTATTGATAAAGACATGTCTTTTCTTTTCTTTTTCATAAGCCAAGATTTAGAGTGTTTGGTTTTCTTGAGAAAGACTTGAGTTTTGTTGGTGGGGTTGAGATCTCGAGAATTAGGTTAATCGCTAGCAACTTGTCAATTAGTTTAGGAGAATCAAGGAAAGAGATCTTTGAGAATTCACTGTTGTCAAGGCCATATATTTGTTAGCCATAGGATCTTCATCTTATGAAATAGAGGTTAATTTATGTGATGATGTTTGACAGATATCGTTGTTTAGGGCTTCTGGTATAGTTCTTGTGGTTTATCTCTTGGTGGTTAGATCTGGGGATCCCATCAGGATGAGCTGCGATATCATCATCATATATCAGTGAAGTGCATACAAAAAAAGTCAAATATGTAAAATACTGAATCAAATTAAGAAAGGTCTATATCAGAAACCTTATTCTCTGTCCTGGAGAAACCAATTGTTGATTGGTTGATAAGAGAGTCATGCTTTGAATTTTTTCGAGTGGTAAAATTTAGAAAAAAATGCTTGCCATTTATTTATGAATCTTAGATTTCATGTCACTGATATTATCTATCTCATCTTGTTCCATATCTTTTCCTGTTACAGGCTCACCATTAACAGACTCAGCTGCTCCAGTTACAGAAGAGGTCTTCGATGATGGAAAGGCTTCTCAACAAGGTAGTGAGACTTGGAGATTTTAACTTTAGATTCTAAGGAAATTAAAGGAATAAGAGAAATAATCGTTATTTTGGTAAGTTTAGACAACTTATTGCTGTGCCATATCAAGCAGCTGAGCTTGGTCTTCTACTTCATAGTTCATAGTATTCGTGCTTGTTGGATTTCAGATAAGAAATTATAATTTTTTGGTTTCGAGCCTTTGTGGTTAAATGAGTTTTTATGTGATATACATATAAAATATTATAAAATTATGGAGGCATATGAATTTGGAAGCACTAGAAATTAATTGGAGCTGAAGTAAAATTAGATATCATTCTCAATGTGATTTGCCAAAGGACAGAATGAGGCAAAACGGAAAGATTGATGTTTCTAAAGACAGTCGGTGCTGTCTGCTTCTTTTTAAACTCTCTATTTGTGATGCAGTAGATGGTCTTTGCTAGTAATGACATATTTACTGGTTTCAAGGGTTCGGGATTTTGAAATACTTGTCTACTTTGCACAGTATCCTGATTTTTAATGTAATGTGGTTCAAGTATTTTTCATGCTGACTCTCATAGAGTTCCTTCTTTTTTTTTTTCCCCTTGCCATTTTCTTTGTTATATAAATTTACTATGCTATCATTTGACTGGGACAGGCACCATAAGCAATGCAGATAAATGTGATCTTTTTACTGGGGAATGGATCCCGAATCCTTCGGGACCGGCATACACCAATGCAAGCTGCAGATTTATAGAATATCCTCAGAACTGTTTGAAGAATGGGCGTCCTGATACAGGATACCTCTTCTGGAGATGGAAACCACATGGTTGTGATGTTCCTCCATTCAATGCCGAGAAATTTCTGAATGCTATGCGGAACAAGAGTTGGGGACTGATTGGTGATTCAATTCTTCGCAACCATGCACAGTCATTGATCTGTCTTCTTTCTAAGGTGAATTTTAATTATGCTATCTAGTCTAACATGTACGATCTCTCAAGCCGATAACTGATCAGACTAATTCATACCAGGCTGAAGAAGCTGTCGAGGTCTACCATGCTGATCAATACAAATCAAGAAGATGGCTCTTCCCCTCTCACAACTTCACTCTCTCACTTATCTGGACCCCTTTCCTGATTAAAGCAGAGATCTTTGAAAATGATGATGGTGAGTCAAAATCTGAAAATAGGCTCCACATCGACACCCTCGATAAAAAGTGGACAAGTCAGTATAACAACTTCGACTATGTGGTAATATCTGGTGGTCAGTGGTTTTTGAAAACCGCAATCTACATGGAGAATAACACAGTCATCGGCTGCCACTATTGCCCTAAGCTGAACATGTCAGAAGTCAGTTTGGAGTATGCGTATAGTAAAATCCTTAATTCTGTATATAATTTCGTCACTACTTCTGGGCACAAACCCGTTGTCATTTATAGGACATGGACACCAGACCACTTTGAATATGGGGAGTGGTTTAGCGGCGGGGTCTGTAACAGGACCGTGCCATATAAGATAGGGGAGTTCAACGGCAGTAATGTCGACCATGTGATGAGAAAAATCGAGGTGGAGGAGTTCAGAAGGGCGGTGGTGGTCGAAGGTTCAGAGACGGGGGTGCGCCTGAAACTCCTGGACACTTACGAACTCTCCTGGCTACGGCCTGATGCTCATTCGGGTCCCTACAGGAAATTCCATCCATTCGACAAGGATAAGAACGCGAAGGTTCAGAATGACTGCCTGCACTGGTGCTTGCCTGGCGCAATCGATACTTGGAATGATCTAATTATGGAGCTCATACTGGGTGAGTGAAGCTTTGTTTCTTTGCATCCTCCATACGTGTTGAGATAGAATCATTCAAAAACCAACACCAGGATTCTAAGATCGAGTTCTGCAGCAGATGATTGGTATGTAGTTCTCGTCGGTACGAGTGTAATTGGATTTAGCTTGTAAATTTTGGGACTTGAGAATCCTCAGTTGGGTTGCTACAGATGTCTGGCATTCTTTTGATGGTGGAAGAGACGCTTGTTCTTGTACTATGGAATGTGGCATTGTAGTCCAAAGTTTCTTTGCTGTGCAATCTCTCAGTATTCTCTCGTCTTTTGCATTCAAATGATCACAGCAAGTTTACGGGACGATTTTATATTGCTATGGATGGACAAGTCGATCTGACTGCCACAAAATCATCTTAAAGTTAGCTACCTAAGTATATAGAGAATGTAGAATTGAATTAATGATTCTGATTCAATAAAATTGTTTTAATATGTTAATTACATCATTCGATCATGATAAATGATTTCATGATTTAGTAATATATATTATCCGAAAAGGACTCCAGTAGGAAATAACTTATGCGTGAATGACATATATTCATAGAACCATCATATTGCAAACCCTAAAATCTGATTGAGAGTTGTTCCACCAACAAGAAAAGATGCACCTCGAAGCTTGTCATCACAGAGCTGTCCATAATCCTACCATTCTTCTGCAGCCCCGTCGACTGCAAATTCTTGCACATCGACGAGTCTCTCTTTTTTATCAGCAAGCAGCAATAGATTAAACGGGAACCCTTTGCTGTTCTAGTCAGTAAGTGAAGATTTATGCGACAAATTCTCATGGAAATATTTCTCTCTTATTCAGAATCAGTGAAAAGGGTACAAGAAGGCAGATGATATTTCTCTCTTATTCATAATCAGCGCAAAAGGTACAAGAAGGCAGATGACGGACCATCCATCATCCACAGACTGGAGAACTCAAACAAAAAACACCATAGAAACCAAACTGGAAACAAACTTGCAAGTCAATCCTCTCAGATTGCAGCATGCTCAACTATATTACAGCATATGGCACAGTCCTATTTCTTGGACCTCCTCCTCTGGCTCCATGTTTTCTGAGTTGCTTCACCTGCAACTTGTGATTCTTATAGCAAAAGTCACCTGATAGAAAGAAGTGCAGATGATAAGAAACAAATATGGTTATCCATAACCAACTGCAAGAATAGCAAACAGGAAGTATTTTTCCTCGTTCTAAGATCATATATCGCTTGTGGTCAGATTTGGTATATGCAACACAAGATTGGCCTCTGGTACTTACAGATTGAATCTACACTCGAACAGCGTATGTTTTACCCATCCATAAAAAGATGCTGAATATATACATGCCTGCACATGAGTGTAAGGAACCAAGACTGGTACCCTGAATAATGTACCCAAATGATGGCAGATGCCAATCATGTCAAATCTATACAAGATAAATTGGACAGATTGTATAAACAATGGATTTATTAAAATTCCATATATTTTCTCCCTAAGAAGTAGCATATATTTGTTAAAACACTGTCATTTACAACTATCATAGGCACAGAGGAACTGATTTGGGTTCAAAAGTAAATGTGTTCTAAAATTTGAGCTCAGGAGACTGAATTGATGTAATGGTTTTAATGGTCTTTTCATATACTCCTTGTTTCTTGATTGTAACATTGCTTCAGTGCACCTCATAAAAAGGCCTTTCTTATGAATCTTCTCACATGCAAAAATTGGAAAAAAAAGATAGCAATCATCAAAGAAAAGCCTTTAGCTTATGTTTTCCTGTTTCTTGATCATGAGGTGCTTATGTGTGAGTGGATTATATAAGAATTTCCTCATTTATATACAAGGGAGCATGGGATATGTGTGAGTGCTTATCGATGGTCTATGTATGATTCTAAGCTTGTGTCTGGAAGCAAGAGGATTCTACATAAAATGCTCAAAGAGACAGTAGAGTGGAGATTGATCAAATACTAGGAATAATTGTATTTGAATTCTATCTTTCCTTACTCTCTGATTTACTTGTATGTTAGCTCTATTATTATAAATTGGTTGTAAGCTTGTAGGTGTTTGTGCCTGTGCTTAATCAACAATGCAAACACTATTCTGACCATACTAATATATACTTTATTTGATTGTTTTTCAAGACTGAGATATCATGAATATTAGATTGAAGTGCTCTGAGAATTGAAGCTTTATTTGATTAATTCAACTTTAAATGTAGCCTATTGTGAATGATATTTTGGTTCTTATGTACTTAAGGCAACAGCATACTCTTGCAGAGCACAACAAAAAAGAAAAGAAAAGAAAAAAAACGATGCCATCCTCCTCTGATCACATAATGAGGAGGACATATCATTCACTACACATTTTCCTCCTCAATGTCAACCTCCTACTATTCTTTCTCTGGTAAAGAATCTCTTGCATCCAACCCAAGAAAAAAGATTGGCAACCATGTGAACAGCCATCTTATAGACAAGAACATTAACATTCATCATCAATTGAACCAAAACGACCAGCTAGATCAGTTTGATGATTTCATTTACCATGTTCTTTATCGACGAATGATGCTTCCTGAAGCAAAATACTCGTGAATGGTTACCCTAGTCTCATTCATTTCTAGCTATGAAGAAGTTACGTGCAAATGATACGAATCAAGAAACAAATATCGATGCTCAACCCAAAGGAAGGGAAAAAGAAAAGAAGCTTCATTTGGTCCATCCATTCAAGATCGCATCTTTCTTGGATCCAGCCCTAAATCCTTTTCCATCTTTAATTTGTCTCTAAAAATTTCTTTCCTCTAATTCACCCAAGAACACATCTTTTTCGTGTAGAAGTCATTTAATTCCAAAAACACCAGCAACAACAACAATAGAAACCCTAGGAAAACAAGAAGACTCACCTCTCGGTGCTGGTCGCCTCTCGCGACCGCCGGTCGTCAGCGTGTTCGGGCGCCCGCGAAGGGAGAGGGTTGGAGCCCTTGATCAGCCACCCGATGGCGAAGAAGGAGACGCCGGCGAGGATGGCGGTGCCCCAGGCGTGGGAGTACCACCGACTGTACTGCCGGATGGCGAAGCGCCACTGGTCCCTCAGCGTCGCGACGTCGGGGTTCACTGGGTCCGGCGGGTTCGGGTAGCGCGCCCCCTTCCACCCCGCAGCCTCCTCGCCGCCGCGAACCGGCACAGACGGGGGCGAAGGCTCCACCACCGACTTGGGCTTGGGCAGCTCCACCATCGCTCACACTTGCCCTTCGTGGCCGTTCTTAGAACGCTGCCCGATTAAGAGGGTGGTCAGTGGGTTTACGGAGCGGTAACTTTAGTCGTGAGAAGTGCCCCCGCACGGTACGCACGGTTCTCCTCGGGGTGTTGGCGGTGAGTGACGGTAACGTTACCGGACTCATTGCAAAAGGTTGAAGCGCTGCAGCAGTAATTTCAAGAAACATTTCTTCGAGTGAATTCTGGCAGGTAAATGTAATCTTTTGGAACTTTTTTGTCTCCAATAATTGTGCAATGGATTAACATTGTTTCCTATAAGCCAAACAAATTGCAACATCAATCGCCAATTACATTAACCTTTGGTGCAGGTGGATTCCTAGTGAGGTTAACAGAACACTGTTCTATGTTGATAGACCTGAAGTATTCCTTTATCTTGATCGAACAACAAGGTTATCTTAACAGTCGTTTGCAGTGATGGATTCTGTTTTATGAGCACATCAGAAGAATTTCGAAGTATCAATGGAGAAAATTGGATCAAACTCCACATGAGGGGGGGGCTTGAAAGCTGCATCAGCAGTTCCCCCTCCATAGCTGCTCCTCTGGCATGGAGACACTGCGAAGTAGTTCGATTCTGAGGTAGGTGGCGACATGAATGGGGAAGAGAAGCTGCTTGAATGGTCATTCTCCATGGGGTTTGTGTACGAGAAGATCTGGTTCTTAGGCTCAAAGCTACTGAGTGGTGTGGAAGGAAAAGAGAAGGAAGAAACTAGGTTGTGATCTTGCATTTCCATGAAACTTGTTTTAGGACACAGAGGCAACTGCTGGTCTTGGAGATGATGCCGTGCTTCAAGTATCGTTGGAGCTTCATCATGGAGACGCGCTTGCAGGTTGTCCAGGCAAGTGTGTTCCCCTCGGTAAGTAACGTGGAAGACGCAGGGGTCCCGATCGGATCTCTGCACTTGCTTCGTCGCAAGACATCCGACGCTGTTGCTGCGAGTGCATCTGTAGTAGCCTCTGCAGAAGCCAGAAGTGGTGCAATGATCTCGCATGAGAACCATGAGACATGCGAGTGCCTAAACAGAGCAACAGAGTAAGAAGAAGGAGAGCTTTCTCAGTGTGTGCGCGCTAACCTTCGATGCCTGGTTCCAAGGATCTCCTTCTGCCCGTATTTCCTCCAGCTATAGCCGTCTTCTGGTACTCCGCCCGCTTGGCTGCCGGAGACCTGAACTTGGATCGTCCATTTGGGTAGAGTTTTCCTGCGATCCAAAGATTACAACCGTAAGGAAGCCTTGTCTCACAAAGATTCTGCTGAAGGAAAATCTCTATATAATGTGCACCTCTTCTTGCACATCTCCCTGCGTTCTTGTTCTTTGAGGACCGTCTCCGAGTTCTCGCTCCACAGGCCTTCGCTGCTCCATCGAGGCAAGTCTACTGCTGCGTTACCTTGCCATGCCGGCTGCTGTGGCCCTTCGAAGTCCATCAGTCTAGCCACGGAAACGGCTTCCTTCAAATCAGAACTTATCTGTTGCACCAATGATCTGCAATGATCGGCAGCGGAAGCATCTCCCAGATTAGCTTCCAGCTGCCTCGTTTGCTCCTCAGCATGAGCCAGCAACCTCAGCAGAAAACTGAGATCCCACGCGCTACACATGGATTCAAGGAGACAGAGAAGAATGAATTGGATATGGACTCTGTTCTTCCAAATCCAGGGAAGCAGATGCCACAGAACGATGACCGTCGTAATGCAACTATCAGAAGCTACAACACAAATCAGCTAAAAGAAACACACGTCCTCTGCAATTTGCTGCTTTCGTGTTTAGAGAAAGATGCGAGGAGAAACAAGCACATGGGACGTAGATTTAAATCGGAAGACGGGGGAGGATGGAGTCTGAGTTCGTACTATGACGGAGCGGCAAAAGTTGGACCGAGGACGCCGAGTTCTCCGGCTGTCATTTCTTGCTTCTGCCGGTGTTTTGGTTGGTCGATGACTGGTCTTCGGTCAGAGGGGCGAAGCACGGGAGAATGCTCTTCGCTGACCTATTCAAAGCATGATTTTCTCGTTGTAGAAAGAAGAAATCGTCGAGACTCGAGACCGAGGAGTTCAACGGGAAGAAAGCCCGAAGTGATCGACAATCCTGCGACTGGCTTCTTCTTCCCTTGCGTCGGGGACAGATCGGTGATGGTGGTGATGGGTTTTCTGGTTTGTGCTTAGGATCCCGTGTTTGGGCGGAGCCTTCGACCAACGAACACTTGGGGTTTCGAGCCTACCACGATGGGACCCATATCGGGGCCCAATGGGAACTGACACTCTATTCATGTACGACGGTTTTGCTGAGACAGCAAAAATATAAATTAGATCATACGTGGCAGATGCAAGACGACGCGCGCGTCCCTCGTCGAGCATTCTGATGCATCACAAGCCAAGACGGCAATGGTGAGCTTGTCGTCATGAGGGCGGCGAGCTCGTCATTCGAAACCATCATGGAGCCGACAATTGCTGTCTTCCATCCTGCGTTTCATCTCGATAAGCATGGCAGTGCACTGAACCCGATGAGATTACTATGTTTGAGGAGCCTACCTGTGACATTTCACTGATGAAACCCGTCGACTGAAGGCTCATACATTCTTGTGCCGGCGTTGCTCACAGCACCATGAACTGCTTAAGCTAATCAAGGCTTAACAAAAGGTGCTATGGATCTCCTTTAGCAGTAAACCATCCGAGGTAGGGGTTAGATCATTAGAAGAATGAAGTCGCAGCACACTGTCCGAGGATAGGCCAAGGATTAGAAAGTTTGTCCTCACAGCTTTCTGGCGATGTAGATAGCCATGCCCTACACCGATCCTTTGGCGCATGTATCCGTTTCTACGCCATTGGCAGGTCTTCCGAGTTTGTTCATCTTTTGGTTGATGGATTCCAGATGAATGGGCAATGCGTTCATGGTAGCATAAATAGACCACGGAAATGGGAAAGAGGGAAGCAAGTTGCTCTGCTTTCATATGTTCGGCAACCGCAGAGAGAGAACCGAAGGAAAGCGAAGTAGGTTGATGCGATGGGAGATCAGAGAACTGATCTTTACTTCGTCTTCATGAGTTTTGATCCCAACTACGAGCGCCTACGTGCGGATCGGTGGGTGTAAGATCGTCGTCTTCTTCTTCTTCTTCGCGTTCTGATATGTCCCTAATTAGTTTTCATGCGCGTTGCTGCTTCCTTCTCCTCGTGATGGGAATCGTAGATCAAAGGAAGGAATGGAGGCGCTTGATGCCTACCTTTGCAAGAAGCACGACCGGTTGCTGGCAAAGCTTCTCCAGCCAAACACCTACAAGAAGAAATCTTCCCTCGCCATCGTCGATGGCTTCACAGTGGAGATCTCCAAAGAGCAGGTCAACTTCTTCTTCTTCTTCTTCCATTCTTGGATCTGCCAAGGAAGTGAGGGTGGTCGAGAAGAACCAAGAGCTGGCTTGATCCCCTGAGATGTCTTCAAGCTTAGAAGCGATGACATATTTGATGATGTAAAATGCTCATGTAATATAGCCTTGCCGAATGCAAGATTTGCATGAGTAGTTAGTTAATACACATTGATCACGTGAAATCGACTACAAACGCAGCAGTGGTAAGAGGGCATAACATCACCCTGTTGAGCTGACCCAAATCCAAGCTCGGAAGCAGCTCCTCGAATGGCAGACAGCCGAAAGAATGGACAAGCTTTAGAAAGCACTCGAGCAAAACCCTGCGCTAAAGGTGCCGGTGAGCTGTGAGCACGGCCATGGCTGGACCCCGAGAGCAGCTCCGCTAACGTCCATGCACTTCCATGGCTGCTCGTAATGCATCAAAGCACCCCAGAGCTTGACATTGGACAGGCATATTCGAGTAAAGGGCGAGCTCCTGATGCCTTCTATCGATCCAGGCTGCTGGATGTCGACGCCCCACACGTTCTTGATCGTCACACCGTCCACCGTCGGCATCGCGTATCGATTGAAGTACTCGTCGGGATGGTCACCAACATCCCCTGCAATTCTGATCCCCTTGCGGACCTTGTTCATGCTCACATTGACGACTGTCACGTTTCTTATGTACCCTCCCCTGCCTGCGTTGGTCTTGATGTGGATGCCGAATCCGGTGTTGTAGAGGTTGATGTTCTCCACCAAGACGTTCTCCACCCCGCCTGAGGTTTCACTTCCGATGGCGATCCCAGAAAACGGTGAAGATCCTTGGAGCCTTCGGATCGTGATGCCAGAACTGGGACGGCCATAAGCGATTCCATACTCATCCCACCCGCTCTTTATGGCCACCAAATCATCTCCGGTTGCAATATGAGCATCCTCGATGCAGACATTTGAGCTGGAATCTAAATCATATACGAATTTTAATTTTAATCAGATCCGACACAAAGCAAACAAGTTCTTTCTATGATGCAGTGTCATCGGAAAGAAGAAATATTTTACCTGGATCTATTCCATCAGTGTTAGGAGAGTCATACGGAGCCAACACTGTCACATACTTTATCACCACATTGCTGCAAGAAAGATGTAGAGTTAGATACAGATGCTGGAAAAGGAAATGCAGGTCGGCATTGCTCTGTTTGGGGGAAACTCTGAAGCTTGATCAGTCCATTTGTTCAGAACATATACATTTTTCGACAGTGGTTCCAAATTTGTTTCCGAAAGATGCATGTTGCAGTAGAGAAGACATTTATGTTCTCGATCCCTCATGAGATAAAAATTCAATTAAAAGAAATCTACTTCCTGAAACAGCGGTGTAAGAGATTGGCTCCTCCAACATATAGTAGAAGGGAAAGAACAGGAAGAAGCTTGCAGTTACCTGCAATATACAGGGTGGATATTCCAAAATGGAGAGTTTTGAAAGACCACATTGGAGATGATAACATCTCTGGAGTTCTTGAACTCCAAGAGATTTGGTCTGGTGAAATGGAGAGATCTTTGTCTCCACATGTTCCACCACACATCACCTTGACCATCAATCGTCCCATTCTCACCTGCGAAAGGTAAAACATATCACAAAGGGAACAAACTGTAAATAATCTAAGCAGATGTGGATCGTTAAATTGAAGTTAATTTGCACTGCATATGAATACTAACACATCTCATTTCTGATTTCTTGTTTCTTATCACAAACTTCTGCAGAGGAAACTATTCAGACATCCCTGGTTATGTGATGGAGGGCAAAAATGAAAACTGTTCTTGTCTTTGGAGCTTATCACTTTGCTGCTGCTATTAGAGTTCTCCAGGAAACAATGCATTTGCTGGAATTTGATTGTTTTGACAGAAAATGCAGAGAATGAAGGAGCATACATCAAACAACTTCGGTGCATTACATGCAGGACCTTGGAACAAAGCAGTGCAGCGAACATAGCAAGAGCAAATTGATTGCAGTTCACCTGTAATTATTACGTCGCTGATTCCATCTCCTTGAATGAAGCTCACGTATCTCCTGCCGGGCAACTCTCTCCCTCTTCCATATGATGGTAAAGGGTCTACCAGAGGCCAGTTCCATGTATCCTGCATTTGAAGAGCTGTGAGTCCAAAGATAGACTTTCTTGAGGAAGACGCTCTTCGTTAGCTGCTTGCTGTAATGCCAAAAATCCAATGATGCTTGCGAGAGAAGGCTGAATGCAAGAAGGAGCAACACCTGGGTGGCCTTGATTACAGCTCCTCGGGCCAGGTAAAGGGTCATGTGGCTGGTTAGGCTGAAGCTCCCTGTGAGCCAAACACCGGGAGGGATGTAGAGAAGGGTTCCTCCCCTGCTCCGAAGGTGCTGGATTCTGTATATGGCCTTCTTGAAGGGCCAAGTGTTGAGCGTCCTCCCGTCGCCCACCGCTCCGAAGTCGGTGATCGATATCACCTCCCTTCGCCACTTCATCGGCACTATGTCGGAGCACGACACTTCCGTCACCGCCACGCTGCATTGCAGCAGCAGAGGCAGTAGGGCTGCCACCCCCACCAAGGCTCGAAAAGGAGCCATCCGTTTCAGTAAACCACGAGAACCGGTGCCGATGAGCTTCTTCGTAAGGATCGAATTTGGGTGGAGTCCAAAGGCGAGAGCTTTGAGAAGGAAATGGATTTTGGAGGCAGAGCGGTCCAAGATGAGCTTTTTACAGACCAAGATCTGAATTTGGATCCCCAGAGACCTCAATACGTAATACAAAGTTGCTCCGAGAGATAGAATCCAAAGCACCCAGACTTGTCGAGAGAGAGTCCAAGCAGAAAGCTACAGTTTTTGGCCTCTCTTAGAAGCAGACAGCTTCTTCAACAGTTCAGAATGTTTAGTTAACACGACTTCATGGATTTAAAGAGAGAAGAAGAGATGGTGGTGAGGAATTGGGAATCTCTTTTGCTGTTGCTTGTTCTATTCATCTCTTGGACGGAGGGGGACATCACCATCTTTGGTACACACAAGGCGCTTGCACCAAAGCTCGTACATGCTTCTTTATCTCTTAGGAACTTTAGCGAGGCCATTTGGAGTTATCATTTGTGTGAGCCATAGATAGATTGACAATGAAAGTGTGTATCAGTCGACGGGTGGTGAGCAGAAACAATTGAGACAATGAGGAGCCAAAGATGTTGTGATGGCCGAAGGCTGACAAAGGTGCCCTCTCATGGCATCCATGAAGTACTGTGACCACACAGCAAATGCTGATCAGGAAATAGGAAGTAGTCTCCCTACTAACGAGGATGTTCTAAAAGCCATTTCATCCATCACTGGAGCATGAGAAGCTTTTTGACGCCATGACAAGAGCTCGTGAACTCGCGTGCCTCCAAAGCAGAGCTCGACTGACACCAACGCATCACATGCACCATTGGTGGAAAGCATGCAGCCAACACTGACCATCCAAGCAGTGGCTTTGATCCGTCACGAAATAAGACATGGACCAGTTCTGGATCACTGAGTTGTTCAGCTCATGCCCTCCCTCCCTTTCTCTCTCGTGAGGAGAACAACTATCATGGGGATGGTTGAAGGGACTCATTTCTTCCCGTCTTACCTCCTCCAGTGAATGCGATGATAGTTGCTTCAAGACGTTTAGGTATGTTTCCTTTTCCTGCTTTCGAAAGCGCATCTTTAAGCATTATGTTCACGACTTCTTTCTCTTTTCTGAGAAATAAACGCTACAATTATTGCCATATGATCCGATGGGTGATAATAATAATAATAATGGATTAAAAAATTCTTCATGCTTTAAGAATTTGAGGCCGCCATTATTACATGTTGTGCTTGTGCTGCGGAATGATGAGCTCATTGATTCCTCACCATCAACTACAAACCAAACCAAACCACGTACGGCGTCCCTCTGTCAAAACAAGCGGCCGTAGCTGACACCATTCCTTATTTGAATATTCTCGAGCTCATCACCATCATAAGCCATAATGTTTCAACCATTTGATGGGCACAGGCAATCTGCCATTGTTGTAGCCAGCCAAAGAAACATCACATCTCATTTTTCTCTGCATCTACCCAACGACTTAAGGGTGCCTGAATGAATGCAAGAATCCACCATTGCTGGAATGGTCATAAAGACCTGCAGCAGATGTGGAGTGTGTGATGGGCATTAATTAGGCTGTCTCCTGATGGGGAAACTTGTTGGGTGGAGCAGCTCCTGCTGTGTACTTTTTCCTTGTGACTTCAATTGCATCATTGGAGAGAAAAGACAGGGAAGCTACCCCAATTCAGCCCCAAGAACATGGGTAAAGATTGACATGAAAACACAACCAAGCAGAACAAAAAATGAATGATGCATCTTATCAGCCCCTGAATTAAGATATGTCCGAAAGATCCAGAACAGAACCTGGCCTTCTCCATCTTCCCCAACTCAATTCAGTCTTGATTCATTTCAATGATCATGTGGCGTAGAAAATGCCACAAGCCTGAGAACTCGCCATCAAGTGGAGCACAGGGAATTTGAAAGATGCACCATACAAGTAATCATAGCAATTAAAATTAATTCCACGACAAAATTTATGACATCTCCGAGCTGTTTATAGAACACACTTTCTACCTGTTTTTGTCATTCTATCTTGAAAACAAGAAGACAATTGATGCATTTACAGGAACTCCAAAGTACACCAAAGTTTATAGGTACGAGACAACTGTCGTCAATCTTTACGACCCACCTTCATTTGACTTTGATGTAGCTGCTGCTCCAACGTTGCTGTCACCAGCAAACAGTACAACCAGATATTTTCCCATAGCTTCACTGATCTCAGGAAATCGAACTATATCACCTGAGAACCATGGCGCAGGCATCGGATGCCAAAAACATTCATTTTCATTCTGAATGGGGTATGGCATGGTTGCAGTCAGAGAAAACAAAAAGGCAAAAGAGACTAGTTGACTATGTCAAAAACTTGGATGGTCTGAAGCTCTGCGAGTTCTACCCCTGGCTAGACCGTGCATTAGATGTTAATGGGCTCTGTCAATTCTTGAACTGCCAATCGCTCCGATATTACAGCTAATGATTTGAGGTTGCACTTGATAAGGGCCTCCACGAAGAAGCAGGTGTCATCTTTGGTGTTCCCTTCCGGCACGTCGACCACAAACGATTCTATCACCAATGTCCCCGGTCTGCCATCAATAACCTCAGGATGGGCAGTCACAACCGATGAGTAGTTCTGAAGAGAAAGAATAACGAAGATTGATGAGCCACAAGTCAGCCGAAGGCAGAGCAAACATAATTAAAACATATGCTCAAATATAGATCCATCATTGTTGATTCAAATGAGTAACACAACATCATTACTCTGTTCTCATCCAGTAGAGTAAAGCAGGACCAAAAGAAACATCAGAAAAATCAAGATGTTAATATCATGCAAGCTTTGTCGAATTCACAAAAACAGAATATACAACTCGACTGAAGGTCAAAGGAAAACTAGTCACATAATGATGAAGCTGCATGCAAATCTGATGCGACATGAATCGTTGCCACCTCAATGGATAACTCAATCAAGCACAAATGTTAAACTACCAAGACTTGGTGTTTCTCCGAGAGACTGTTAATAATATCTCCGGTGATCAAACTCCTGTAAGGCATGCTATAACTTCTATTCTTTTATAAAAATGATTGGGTTCTACTATGATAAAATTCGATGAAATTTAAAAAGCCAAAGAACCACTCTCATCCTTGATAGAGAATTTTCCATTATAATTGTTCCAGAAAAGAACATGAATATGTGAATGATAATTCCAATACTATATCCATTAGAAAGTGAAAGACACTTCATGTATGTCTACTACACAAGCAAGAGGAAATCACAAGATAATTCCAAGGTAATATTATCCCCTTTATACGGATTGCCATCACGCACGCTTTATCTTCAGAAGGAATATTCAAGTCTACCCTACTACCCATCAAGCATCAATATCTTCTCAACCTTGCATATCTTGAACAATCGATCAAGATCCAGGTGGATGGAAGAGCAGAGAAACAAGTAAGAATCTTTTAACAAGAGAAGAGCATTGGGGATGGCAAGAACAAAAAACCTGAAGCCTGTGGTCCCCTCCGACAATCTTGATGCTCAAGATGTGCTCGTTGTCATCGAGCTGTTCGAGCCTTTCGGTGCTGGTAGTGGCGGGCAGGCCGGACTTGATGTTCACTTCCCTCAAGCACCCTACTGCAAAATCCCCCTGCAAGATGCATCTGCTCACAAACGGCTTGTACCTCTCTGGCTGATCGAATCGCCTCACCAAAGACCAAACCTATACCATAAGCACAGCATCATCAACGGTTACAAGCTTCGCAGGTTCTAATAGCAAGTTTAGAGAAAATATCTGACGAGCAAAAGCGAGCGATCATTTTCTCATCACCAAAGAAACTAAAAGTGAAAGCTTTTTCACCATTAAACGTTTGCTAAATCAACAAAATGCACGATCCGATCACCCATATTTATACACTTGCTGGTTTGCTGTATCAGCAAGGCAGCCTCTTCCATCGAAAATCCCAAATTACAAAATCCTTCAAATCGCACTGAAGCAAAAATTAACTCTTTGAAACTATTCATATTTTCGCATTAGCTAAACTAACCGCAAAAATCAGTTTTTTTACACCTCAAGGGGAAAAAAAAAAAAAATCCTATTTCTTCGCATTTGCGGAAAATAAAACCCTAAAAAGGATAAAAGAAGCGAAAGAAACACCAGCAGACCGCCTATTTCGAAACCAAAGAAGGAAGAAAGCGAGATTACGAGGTGGACGGGGGCTTTGATGTGCTTGACGACGGAGGAGCTGCACTGGTTTTCTTTCGGCTCATGGCGGTGGAATCTGCGGACGCACTCCGCCTCCATGGCCCTGCACCCGACCTCCGGCGGGTTCATCTCGTCGGCGAGGCGCCACAGCCCCCCTCCCCCGTTGCTGCTCCTCCCCACCATATTCCGCCTCCTCCTGTCTAACGCAGCCGATCGAAGCCAAGAACAGGAAAGGAATCGATCCACAGTAATCGCCGCGGCGTCTGGATCACCCCAGTTCCCTCTTGATCGAACGTAATGGATGCAAAGCCTTTTGTCCTCCCTCGTTAGTATTATCGCCTCCTACTTGTCTCTCCTCTCCCCTCTGCCTCGCTTCGCAACAAAAGGTGTTATCCTATTATAATGACTTGCTTTCGCTCTGTAACAACACCAAATAACCTTGACCTGTCGTTGTATAACAGAATTGCCACTGCGGGCCTCTAGCGCCCGTCCCGAACCGGGTTTAGATGTGGGGCCCTTAACACTCCCAGCCAATAAAAGGTCAGGCTACCCTGCTCGTAGGCGTGGCCACAGCATGTCGGCGGTGGCAGAAGCGTAAATACCTGTCAATGGTGGGGGTGTTCGACCATAACCAACAGTGGTTAAAGACCTTTTTAACAAGAATGTTGCCCTCACCCGAGGGTGACTCACCGGCGCGAAGCAGGAAAGTGGGTCCCACGGATGCCCCGACACACAAAGCAGGTAGTCGGGGCGCGTAGACGGCCGATGGGTGCAGAAGCACTGCTGCGGTCGTTCTGAGACGCTGGCCTTCCGGTGATACGGAGAGACACTCGCCCGAGGCAACCGTACGATGCGCGCCACTTGAAACTAGTGGCCAGAGAGGAGACGCGTGCCAGAAAATAACACGACCGTCGCTGGACGGTCAGTTTTAATGTGCCTTGCGTTTCCCCCTCCGGTCTTCTTTTCGTTGTTTCAGATCCGTCGAGACAAAGAGGAGGAATCCGTCACCGTACGCAGGCACGCAGCGGCTGCTGAGTATTATCGAGAAGCGTGCCACCGCACGTGCCGACCAGTCCATTGGCACGAGATGTGAGTGCGGTCGTGAATCGAACGCTCTTTAAGAATGGTCTCGATTTATCTCACGATTATCTTTCTTTTTCTGGATTTGACCACTTAAAAAGCAAAAGTATAGATGGGACTTAAAAAGGCAATCATACTAATATTTTCTTGCTGAGGAAAAAAAAGTTAAATTTCAAGTAGATTGTTATCATTTGTAGTGCTCGTGGGCCCACGCATGAGCCCGTCTCGAGAGAGACTGGAGCGACAAGCGTCCCATTCTAAATCAATACATCTGGCGGAACTAAACACGACAATCTGTGGTGGTGGAGATAAAAATAAAAAAAGTTAGGGATTCAATGAACCGAGACCCAAGCTCAGATGCCAACCACAGAAAGCGTGCAGGACAAGAAGAAAGATATACCTGTAAAAGCCCGGCAAATCCGACCAAGGATGATGCAATGCATCATCAGGAGCAGCACGAAGCTCCACCGTGTAAAGCAACATCGTAAGGACTCCCGAGGAAGAAAGCCGCCGCATCGTCCATGCCATGGACGTTAATCCAAGTCTGAAAGAACAAAACGTAGGTTCAGCGTATCCTCGAAAGATTGGCGGCACACGATAAACATCAAACGCAGGTTACGTCACCTGGCTTTCTTGGTGGTATAGCCTGGGCCATCTCAAGAGATCGGATGCCAATATATTACCAGAATACCTAGCTGTCTCCAAAAGAAAAAGTTCATAGCCGATTTATTTCGATCTAAAATATTAACAAGAACAAAAAGTATCGTCTGTGCTCACCTGATAAACAAGTTGCCAACAGGTTGTCCAACAGCCACCATTGCACGTTTTGGTTGCTCAGAGTTGCTGATTCCTACATGCATTGTCTTCCTGAATACTCTTTCGTTTGACCTCCCAACATCAGATGGTATTATGGCATTCACAACCATACAACACGCAGCCACTGAAAACAACTACAATCACCAAACCGTATGCTACAGGATCTGGTGACAGAATTACACCCTTCTACAGTCAACCGAGATACTTGAAGGCTGTCACATCAGCACCTAACCACAGTAAAAATAACAAGTTCAACTAAAAGCAGCATGTGTACCAAACAAGTGTTGCATCTTAGGGGGATTCAGAGTCAGAACCAACTCCTTTCACAGACGATGACTAGATATTCCACATTGGTGCTCAAGCCATATGCTGATTCTATTTACAAAGGATATTGCCAGATAGGTGATGTCACACTCGGTAGAGGATAAACTAGTCATCCAATGAAAAACTCCAACTATTTTGCATCAGCAGAGCACACAGATGCTTTATTTATTGCAAGCTACTACTATCTCAGGACTATCTCACCAATGAACCCAACCTTCTCCTGCCTAATTCCTTTGCAGATGAGCAGTGGGCTCTCAAATCTTCCAAAGTAACAGATGTCATTTCAATAACAACTAACAATATGCATGCAACAACAAAATCAGCTCACATGTCTATATCCTCTTACTTGTGATGTCATGATCAAAATAAACAAGACGAATATGACATGAGATATTCAGCCATACAAGACAAGCACTAACTACAAGGAAAAAAAAAGAGAGAGAGAGAGAGAGAGAAAAGCACATAAACCACAACGAATAAAATATCGCAGAACATTATGCTCACACATCCTCTTTTTCATCTAACTATGTTAAAAAGATGGAAAAACATAGGTAAATATGCTACTGTTAGCAAGTTACTTTTAATTTTATAGTTTTTTAATCAGGATGTCTGATATCATCTTAGAATTTTGTAAAACCTTTGCAACATCTTGCATTATTTTCATTGGATTTCTCATGGATGTAATTAACTTATTATATAATATTTAGTATACAACAAAATGTAATTGTTCAAACAAAATCAAGACCTTCAATCAGCTAACCCACCTACCAATAACCAAATCTCAGTGTATTTGTGCATTTTTATAAAAGGTCAAACGTTGATGATTTATTCTCAGACCCTTTTATGTTTAGCTCATCACTTAGATTGACATTTTAATAACTATGCATGTTTCCTTATATGCATTCATCATTCACATATAAAAGAAAGAGATAAACTAAAATTTAGTCTAAAGCCACTTACAAATTACAATATAAAGGACTGCTCATTCAAAAAGCTCACTTTAATCTATAACCATAATTAATCATCAACCAGGAATAACATAATGAGTTCTGTTTCTGTGATAAAGGACAGAAATGAGTGTCAGCTATGTGTAATAATCATTGCATGCAAATAAGAATGGCAAGGAAGAACTAAGATCCATTTGTAAAGTTTGGCATTTGCATATAAATCAGTAGCATGTCTTAAGAGTTGAGAAAATAACATGGTTCTAAGTCATTCATAAATAACATTTTTGGAAAACAGAGCATGTACTTTATGTCAAACACTTAACTATGCATCAAAGAGTGCACAACAAAAACAAGCCTTAATATTCCAACTATATTGAATCGGCCAGAGGTCAAAGAGTGTACTGCAAAAAAAAAAACATAAAACCATTGAATCTGGAGGCAGAAAAGAGGGGTTACAACGAGAAAGGGAAACAAACAAAGTACCCAAAGTAGCCCTTATATCAATCGTGCCATCTTTTTGCATATCTCATGAGCTCAAGTGAAGATGCCAGGTGAAATTATTGCATAGAAAACACTTCTTGATCTTTGCATGATACTGTCAACATAAAAAGCACATCAACAGATAATCCTATTGTCGGAATGAATTTAAGTAACAAAACATATCTTATATGCTAGAGGATGAAGCATAAATATGGCCAACAAGTTAAGGTTTAAGCATCAATATGAAGAGACATTAAATAAAGAGAAATCCCTCAATCAGCTTACTAATTAAGAACAGTAAAAGTTTCGAAACTAGAATTTGAATTAGTGCTTTGGCACACCATAATCTGTGACGAAGTTGTAATTGTTCTGACAATTAGCACATCCTAAATCTAAAAAATATTCAGTTGCAAATAAAATGAAGCACGGACTTGAAATACATTCCTGCGGTCACAATATTCCACAACCTCCTTTTAAGAAGTTGCTTTCATATTCCTCAGAAATAGTACAAAAACATAGCCAATTATTTCAGTGATACAGGAAAGAAGCAAAGGCATTGTTGCAATCTCCAGAGTACCTGCAAATGAGCCAGTGTGCAAAACTTATTTTGGACAAGCTTTGTTTGTAACTCGTGCTAGAAGTTTTAGCTGCAGTGATGGTCATATCTAGTAAAATGGTGTCATGAAGTGGGGTGTGGACTTTTCCTGGGGGGAAAAACAGCCTAGTAGATCAAGTGTTATTATCAACTAAGCATCATCATCTTCAAGTAGACTCTCATAAAGGACTAAGAAATTTTGAATCGGTCTTCCATTTACATTGGATTAAATAAGTTTCTAAAGGTCAACTTGGAATTATAGTAATGTCTGTGACCCTTTCTAATTTATGCAATGCATAGTTCCATGACTCGCCAAACTTCTCAGGAGGCAAAATTGGTAACAATAACCACCTCTAACATTTTCTCATGCCTTCATGATTCACAGTCTGAAATTATAAGGTATGGCCTGAGCGTTTTGGTTGGAAAAAGTTCTGTAACATGATCAAACCATTTTATCTATTTGAAAATCTTTATTAACAATATTCACAATTTGAGTTATTGAAACAGTAATTTGTAACATTTCAGCATTTTTTTATGAATCCAACTCTCCATCCACTGCCAGTCAACCGTACCCGAACATGCCTTCCATTATCTTAGCAATAAATTATAAGCAAAAGAGTATTTGGATTCCAAAGCGCAATTTCTATACTATGCCCTTTTGATGATTCCACCTACAAAAAAAATCATAAGAATTTGATGCTTATTTCACCTTTCAATGACAAAAATGCTTATTCAATATAAACCAAAACCTTCTGTTTCCTAATATCAGATGTAAGCTCCAAAAGGCCTGGAAGAATATCCTTCCTTGAATTACTATTTTCTAGCTCTATAATGGCAGAACAACAAACTGCTAACACCTTTCACTTGTTTCAAACACTAACGAGATGTCTCTATCTGACTATCATTGGCACACTCTGCAGACCCAAATAACAGCCTAAATTTCCGGGGCTATCTTTTCCTAAGAGGAAAAAGACAACATCAAATTAAAAGCAGCAAGACATGAAGTAAAAAATTTCCAGGATGCTGGTGAATATATCTTGGACAAGCACATAGGCATCATGCACAAAATGAGATGCCATGAGAAACTTCACTTGGATTAAGAACCATATAAGCTCAAAGCATTCACGTTTTACAGAAAAGCAAATAAAGGATGGATGAAGAGAACGTATACCTTTAGGGCGCGGCGCGCTGCTCACAAAAATAGTGCTTGCACTTGGTCTGGGACGCGCTCGCGGATGGCCCGGGTGTCCTGGGAGACCCTCGTCTCCGTATCGGGCGCTGGCGTGGCCCGGCTATCGTGCTGGACTCAGATCCCCTTGGATGACTCGAACTGGAAGAGGGCACCCGCTGGCGATGCGCCCAACGGTGACGTCATCCGCGCGCGCAGGGGCACCCTCCGCGAAGGGCTTGGACGAGGGTTTAGACGAGGAGGAGAACAGGAGCTCTTCGTCGGCTTTAGAGGCGGAGGATGGAGCTATCACCGGCGGTGGCATCTTTTCGTCCTCGGAATCTTCAGTCTTGCGTTTGCGAATGTTCCTATTTTTGGTGGGATTGCAGAATAAGCTACAGGCCTTGCAGGTCCGCCGTTAATGGCTGTGTTGGGTCGTAAGGGTTCGAGGCGGAACAAGAAATCGGCGATCCAAGGGTTCTCCATTGGAGGGGATTACCAGTCTCCTCCACGAACGACCTTGCCTTCAAAGAGATTGGGGGCCCACTCAGGATCCCATGTGGGACTCCGGTTTCGGGCCTAAGGCCACACCAATCACAACACAGGTAACCAGGCAGGTGGAAGAGAAAGCGTATAAAGGCGTTTATCTTGAAAAAGGTCAAGTCGGTTAGAGCGGCGGCCTCTCCGAAGCCGAACCCACTCGAGGATGTTCGCATATCGTTCGACGGAATGGCTCAAAGAGAACTAGTGTTACATTCCTTGTGAAATGCTTTCGAGTCACATCGATTATGCTTTTACATTCCTTGTTTCTTCCTCGTGACTTTTGTTAATTAAATATGAAGCATTACGAGATATTGCTTGGGAATTACATCTCGAAGCAGCAGGCTGTTTGGGCGTAACCGGAGAATCGCTTCGGCATCTCCACCTTCCGCCACATTAGACCCTTCCCTTCTCCTCCTTTGAGGTCCATGATGTAGGCCACTTGGGCCCTGCTGTTGTCCCCGGCGCCCCACAGCATGAGACCCCCTTCCCACGCCACCATCTGCAGCGACGCCTTCACGTCGCCAGGCAGGTGCGCCAGCGGCCGCCACGCCCCGTCGCCCTCCTCCAGCAGCACCTCCATCTTCTCCTCCCCCTGCCGGCACATGCACATCCTCCCGTCCCCGCTGACCACGCATGTGCGCTGGTACCCGGCCTCCGCCAGCTTCCCCTCCTCCACGTCGCCCCACCTCCAGGAGGCCACGTCGAAGGCCTCCGCGGTCCGCGAGTACTGCGCCTGCGCCGCCGTGGGGAAGCCACCGAGGACGCGGAACGCGCCGCGCGCGAACAACCCGCGGCACTCGTCGCGCTCCCGCGCCATGTCGGGCAGGCGGACCCACGCGTCGGCCGCAACGTTGTAGGCTAGCGTGGACCGCAGCGCGTTCTTTCTCTCGTCGTGCCCACCGGCCACGAACACCATCCGGCGTTCCTCCGACCCGGCGCACGCGAAGGAGGAGCGCCGTGGACCGGGCATGGGGGCCCCACGGCGCCAGACTCGGGACACCACGTCAAAGACATGGACGTCGTCGGTGAAGGCCCAGGAGCGGCGGTCCAATCCGCCGACCACCACCAGCTCCCTCCCGACGGCGGCCAACCGGCATGAGAGCGGGAGGCCGTGGGAGCGGCCGGGGGTCGGTGGCAGCGAGGTCCAGGCACCGGTGGCAGGCTCGAAGAGCGAGAGACGGAAAACTGGGGGGGCAAGAGAGGGTTGCTGCTGGGGAGGGATGGACTCGGACTGGACGAGGGCGACAAAGGGCCGGGCGAGGCCGGCGGACCTTCTGAGGCGGTGGAAGCAGGGCGACTCGAGGTGGTGCATCCAGTTCTTGCAGACAGCCCGGACGGTGGGGAAGGCATGGAAGGGGACGCGGATGAGGCACTCGCAAGCGATCTCCTGCGGCAACCTCGGAAGCAGCTCGTCTTCCATGACGCAGCAAAATATCTAATCAACGGAGACGACGAGGTTGCTCTTACAATGAAGCGACAGGATGGGAGCTTCCCTGTGAAATCGAGAAGAGTTGGAATCTGGCGAAGAAATAGTAACGCGGTGTGCCTTTAATGTTGAGATCCTTGGATATGCTTCATCACAAAATTGATGGCACACTGCCGTGGATGCATTTGCACCAAAACTTGGCTGGCTCCCGGTCAGCAAACCCAATACTCGTAGAGACTGATAAAAATAATAAAAGATAAAAATAATTATTAAAAAAATTATTGAAGAAGTGAAAAAGTTTAAATAAGAATTTTTCTCGATTTTTCGAGAAAGATTTTCTCATATAGTTGAAGAAATATTATCTTCTATCATGCCCCCTAAAGATGATGTTCCTGTCAAATATATCAATCTTGGATCAATGTAAAGAATGGTTTACGAGCGAGAGTCGTGAGTAGAATAAGAACAGATTGCTGTTGCTACTGCGATTGCTGTTGCTGTGAGTATCATGCCCTCCAAGATGGTGCTCCTATCAAGGATATCAATATTGGATCGATGCAAAGAATGGTTTATGAGCGAAAATCGTGAGTAGAGTAAGAGCATATTGTTGTTGCTACTGCGATTGCTATTGTTGTGAGGGCACAGACGTTCCTTTCCCCTTAAATTCGTCGATTATTGGTAGATCAATGAAGACTATCACGGTGAGGAAGATGAGGATTGACAGTGAAGCCTCTTAGGAATTTGGCTTCGCTTTTCTCACTGTTCTGATATCATGATAAACATAATAGAAGATAAGAATAATTATTAAAGAAACTTTATTTAAGAAGTAAAAAAGCTTAAATACATTAATTAATAAATCAGGCCTTTTATTGCAATATACGAGGTATTGCACCGTTAGATTCCCTTCCCCATCCTAAGGAGGTGCTTATGAATTGAGAAGAGAGAGAAAGAGAGAGAGATGGCATATGTATATTGATTTCCATGTATGATCTCAAGCTTGAGAGTATATAATTTCCCATAATAATCAAATAACTGTGGATGGCAGGAGTCAGTCTCCCTTTGCCGTTCTATAGGTACCGGTTGAAAGAGCGTGATTGGACACAAAAGAGGGGCCCAAAGCATGGGGATTCCTTCTGAGGGCCCAGCTCCACGTCCCGCCACCGCGAAAACGTCCGCGCTGTCGCGGGGGACCTGCGCCGCGTGACGGAGCAACAGCAGGCCAAATCGTCGTCGCTCTGAGCCAAGCTTTGTGTTCCCCAAAATCGTCCGCCACCCGCTCACGCCTACTCCAGTAACTTGGTTTTGGCGGGGGAGGTGAAAACACAAGAGAAAGCATCGTTACAAGATTGGAGGCATGAACTGAAGGTAAACTTGAATCATTGTTTGCTTCTTTGTTCTCAGATTTATCAGATCAGACAGGATCCACTGTTAGACCCGTGGTTTGCCCGATCCCTCCATGTCGCATCAGCTCCGGTCCAGGTTCTCCATGCTCTCTTTTGTTCCATTACCATGTGGTCCGGTAAGGAGGATTACAACTCTCGACGTAAATGTGAGGAAGGTGGTGGGTGGAAGCAGTAGGACCATTGTTCTGCTTTCAGCAGTTGTCATCGACGACTCGTTGTCCATCGCAAGCACTTTAATTCCAAAGCTGACTTAGATTCCATAAACCTTTTCCCAAGTGTCCATTTGCATGCGATCCACTGAGCAGTGCTTTGGCCACCCACGCTCTGACCCTTCCCATGAAAGTTCACTCAAATCAGAGGATGATATGACTTAACATGTCACTCAACTCCTTCAGTGACTTCTCAGACACTCTGGAAGTCCCAACTCATGAGTAGCCAACATCTCCCGGTTCCTGAACTTACTTACCTTTGACCAAAACACCGAACAGTGTTGTTATCCTTTTCTGAGTATGACATAACTGTTATTCAAATGAAGAAGGCTGAGCATCAAGGGAAGGAGAAGATCACAAACATCCAATGTGAGATTTTTCTTTAGTCGATGGCCATTGTGATATACAATACGAGTGTGTGGCTGAGACACAAAGAATACAGTAGTTCTATGTAATGATATACACTGACTGAGAAGCACCATTATTCCTTTTAGCCTGTGGAGGAGAAAGCTCCACAACCTGTCCCACTGTGTTCCTGCACAGCCAGTAAACCTGCCTTCTTTCCAGCAGCCATCGCATGCCTCGATAATATCTCATGTCCATTCCGTTTGCACAAAAATTAAAGGATGGATGAGTTGAACACATCCTCTTCAGAAAGCCAAGTGCTTGGCTGCCTCAAACTTTTTGTGTTAGCCCCCCTCCCACAGAAAGAGCTGAAGTCTTGAATTCCTCTCTCCTCAACTTAGTCCTACGAGGAGATCCAAACAATCTATCTTCTTTGTTCTTTAGTTATCCGTGGGGTTGTGGGGCTGAGCATTACGCATAAGATCTCTGCCTTTGTGCAGCAATAAATGTGAGGCAAGGAGAGAGTTCGGTATCAGCATCGGATTGAGACGGTGACCAACAGCCAGACTTTGGCCTGGTGGAGAGATGCTGGATCAGTTCCATAAATATATTCCACCAACAGCCAATAAATATATTCCAAGTAGCCAGCCGCGTGGATGTCGATGAAGCGCAAGATGGAGCATCATTTGTACTGTTTCCATGCATAGTTTTCCTAGAAGCAGGACTTTGAGATGACAACTGACCGTGGCTTTCATCCGTTCATGAATAGTCCTCTTAGGTGAATCCGTCGAATCGACTGTTGACTGATCTTGTGGTATTATTCTTGTTGCCCAGATCTATTCCACAGCGGAAGGGACGAAGATGCACTGTTCATTGATAAGTGGCATTAACCTAACTCTCGAAAAACCATGGCAAATTCAACTTTCTCTCTTCTTTTATGCAGACATGCGAGACGATCCATCGTCAACATGCGTTTGGAAAGTTGATGAACATGTACTGACTGGCACTCACTATGCTTCAATGATGATTAGTCTTATCAAATATTCTGGAATCCTATCGCCATGCTCTTCTTGCACAACAAGAATCTAAATATTTAGTTCCTGTGTCTTCAGGATGAAACTTAGATCCTCTTGCACTTACTACGAAGAGCCACAGTAAAAGTTTCTCTTTTCAGCACATGTCACCATGGGGTCCACAGACCAAACAATCCAAATAATGGCCTCCACTCTGAAGGCCATGCCTAAAAAAGCAAAGGTTGCTTGCTTCGACAATTGGTTTTAAAGCATGCGTCTCTTCGGGAACTCCAAGGCAGTAGATCCAGAGTGAAACCATTCACGGTGACATGGGATTTAAAGGAGGAGGAGGAGGAATTCAATATGGGTAAAAATGCATATTTGTCAAGTACAATTCAAATATTCAAATTTACTAGAAACTAAGTAATTGTTGTTTTAGTAATTTTCTATGCAATCATTTTGGATTGTTACTTAATCTATGCAATTTTAATATATATATATATATATATATATATATATATATATATATATATTTGTGTGTATATATACATAAGTAACTTTAGGCAATTAATTTGTAGGGATGTGCGCATAAAGATAACCTATGCGCCTTCTCAAGTAATATAATGAGGACGAGAGCGGCGGTGCCACTACGACTCCTCCTTCTCTCCCGTTTGAGGCTCGTTCTCCCTCAAGTCAGTCTCTTCCTGTGGGCGGCGAGAGAGAGAGAGAGAGAGAGAATTGGGCCTTGGAAACCCTAAAAGCCTCTTCACGCTTTTACCTCTTTGCTTAACGGTAAACTCGCATAGCCGGATATCTCTGGAATCTGTGTTCTCTAGTAGCGAATCGCAAAAGGATCTTTTTCCCCTTTTATCGGGTTTCCATCTTGGTAGAATTTCTTCAACCATCTTAAAATGTCAATGTGCGATGAACCGCTTATCGCGGCTGAAGGTTTTTCTTTCTTTCCATATCTATTTGAATACTTTCCCTTCTTTTTTGTTCTTGATTTTGGGTAAAAACTCCTAAAGTTTGCGCCTTTTCGAACTGATACCACTGGTGCCTTTTTTTTTTTTTTTTTTTTTTCTGGTCCCAATTCGTATTCTTGTCTTCCGGAAACTTGAAGAGAATCAGTGGAATTAGAGCCATGAAAGGCTTGTATGGTTGGACGATTCATCTGTCAGTAGGTCGTAGAAGGTGAAGATTAAAATTGATGCTTGAGATAAAACCTGTTTGACTCTTCTATGTTAATATATGTGGACTTCATCTCTGTTCATCTTCCAGAGGGGAAAATTTATATGTTCTTGATAGATTGTGTCAAGTTGTCTTAAGTGCTTCGTGTTGAGGGAGCTTGTAAATTACCGACATATTTGTCCTCAAGGGAATGACTTACAGGGAATGTAAAGATATTCTTGGCCAACTGATTGGCAACCACACGTTATCGAGGAAAACACCTCTTGAAATATGATAATATTTATATGTCGTCATAATCAAGCTCGTTGATTTATAGTTTTCTACAGGAGTTGTCCTTTTATGACAAAGCACAGTTTGTCCTCCTGTCATGTATGAGCAAAATTGTTCTTCCTTTTCACTTGTAAAAGTTGTTTTTGGAGAGAACCGATTTGCTTAAAAGAATATAAACATGTTTAGCTTTGTGTATGGAGTTATCTTCCTTCTAAAATGTTAGTGCCGCCGTTCCAGTGACCTTTTGATCCCCCTTTGGTTGTTTACCGCACTTGTAAAATGTTTAGCTGTTTCTTTTTTTAGTTGTGGCAGCGTGAGTGAAGCATTTAAGAATTTTTGGTATGTTATTTTGTTTTTTCCTTTTTTTAGTTTTGTGGCAGTGGGAGTGGGACCTAATATATTGCTTACTAACTTACTATGTTCCTTTATTTTGTCATAGATCCCTAGCTATATGTGGAATATAATGTTGTGGCACGGATGCCTGACTTTTGCAATTTCTTCCTAGCTTTCTGCTACCAATGTACCAGTGTGACCCGTGGATCCCGGGATGAGCCTGTTCATGTAGTTATGTTGGCTACTTGCAGATACAATGGCAAAAGAGTATGTTAAATCCTGAAACTTCTACCAAGTGGCAGACATCACTTGCGTCTACTGTCTTGATAAGTCAGACGAGGATAGCTAGTAAGCTGAGCTGAAATGAAGACCTCACAGGTGAAGATTTTATCACAATTCTAAGTCTTGCCGAATGTTTCATTTAATCGCATAAATTATGTTGCTCCCTTTTAATTTATTTTTATCTATACTAATGACAATGATCCTGTGGTGTTCTCAAAATCTGTACTTGACAAAATTATGATTACCTTCCTCAAGTTTCTTCTTTTTTAATTGAATGGTTGAAGAAGCACCTGACAGAGATATGAACTTGAACCCTCTTGTTGAGGAGAGAAGTATGAAGTACCAGGCCAAGACCTGGTTGTTCACATCGATGTGATAAATTATCTCTTATTCCAAAGTTGAAGGTTTATTGAAAGATGCACCAATTTATCTCTTTATGTATCAGAAAACTTTAAAGAAAAAGATAAATTCCATCAGAATCACGAGTATATCAAGTTCTAAATCTGTCTGAATCATTCATATTTCACTTGTACGGTAGAACCCTGGAACTTCAACAAAATCTGGCATCTAAATTTGCAGCATGTAATAACTTTTTCAAGTCAAGTCACAATCCATTTTAAATATTGTTAATGTATAACCTACCCTCGATGAGCCTTCCTGATCAGGGCTGCTCTCCGTCCTAGGACAATTTGACCAGCTCCTGTAATTGGCCGTAAGGACTTTGTCTAATCTCAGCACAGGTGGTTCATGGTTAGACCATTCTGTAACAAACCTTCAATAACCTTAATTCCATATGTTGTTTATCCCTTACTTTCGAAGGTCAATGTTTTGGCTTAAGCTGATGATCATAGGCACATGCCAACCGCCAAGCATTGATGTTGGGCCATGCTAAGAAGGTATTGCCAGGAGAAAGAAAAGGGCAAGACCTTGAAGAAAATATGGCGATAATTACCAAAGTCATTGACTTCATAGATTAATACTTCTGGTTACTTTGTAGGAATACAACGGGTTAGTTTGATTTTATAACCTAACAAGGGGAATTGTGATTGCTCAGTTTTTCCCTTGTTCCACATACATTGCTAAAGCTTTGAGATTCATGTTATTGTCAAAGAATCTTGGTTAATTGCTTATATTAACTTTTATAGAATCTGCCACAGTAACCAACTGGTTATTTCATTGTTTGACATATGTTTCTTAAGGAAGGGAATTTTATACAGGATCCTCAGTGTACAACAGAAGTACAACCATCATCAGAAGCTTCACATGTTTTACAAGGTGACCATCAAAACTCCCCGGTTGTTGAAACTCCTAAGGTAGATTCAGGTTCGGTGTCCATTGCAAGCAGTAATACTAGGAAGGTTTCTCGTGACGACATTGAACTTGTAAGATGACCAACTGCTGATTCATTTACTACCACTGTTTGCTTCTAATTGAGGAATATTTGGTGAAGATAGCATGAATGCAGTCTGTGTTTCTGGTTATTTTCCGTATCTTCTTTTCACTGGACATAGTGTTGCAGGTGCAGAACTTGATAGAACGATGTCTACAATTGTATATGAATAGAGGGGAGGTGGTTCAGACTCTCTCTAACCGTGCTAGGATAGAACCTGGTTTCACAACACTAGGTTGGTATTTTATATTTCCAAACTTTTAACTTTCATAAATACAAACACCCACCAGCACATGCAATCTGCATCTTATCCCACTTGTATGAAATTAAAATTATGTGGTGCATGTCAAAAGCATTTCTTGAAGAGTTGCCCAAAAAGATATTTTTTTCCTTTTTCATCCACTCAAGTATTTGGTGCACATGTTTTTTCTTGTTTAGAACAAAAATATATGTGATGGCTTTGCCAATTGCTGCACTCAATGTTGCACTTGTCTACAACTTAAGATGCCTTTTCTTTACAGTATGGCAGAAACTGGAAGAAGAAAACTCGGAATTTTTTAGAGCTTATTATATAAGGTTGAAACTGAAGAAACAGATCATTTTGTTCAATCATTTGCTGGAGCACCAGTACCATCTGATGAAGTATCCCATCCAGCCTAAGGTTCCATTGCCTCCAATTCAAAATGGGATTCACCCTGTGCCTGGTAATTTATTTGGTTCATGCCTCTGCTTCTATTAACATGTGGTTCATGCCTGGTGATGTAGGTATCCGCTAGAAATTAATTACCTGAATGATTATCAACTACACCCTTTTCTGGAGCAAACAACTGATTTCTGAAACTGCGTAAATGTTGTTTTTTTAGCTGCTGCCTCTCTGATTCAATCTTTGTAGGAATTTTAATGGGTTTGTGTAAGCTTAGCTGAGACTTCAAATTGTTCTCGTTTTACTTATTTTGGAATTCAGAAATTTCCTATATCCATAAAATTGGTAGTCCAATATATCAATGAACTGCAAGTTTGCTAATCAATCAAACTCTTTCTTATATATTTCTGCTGAAATAATATGCAGTAACTAGAAGGCAAACAATTATTTGTCATAGGATCCAATGAATATACTTCATGTATATAATTGCTTTCTTCTTTCCTTAGGAATTATGTATGCTTTTCTCATAGTTCTGCTGCCTCAGCTCATAATTATCATTCTTATTTAGTGTAATTTATATGCAGTGCAGTTAGTTTGCCCATGGGGTATCCGATTCTTCCACAGCACCTAATGCCCGCTACAGGTCAGCCTCATGTTGACCCCATGGGTTGTGGACTCTCCAGCTGTCATGTGGTCAATGGTATTCCTGCTCCAGGCAGCTTTCATCCCATTCGCATGAATTCTGGAACCAAGTAAGAGATTGATTTTTCATTTGTAGAATCCTTTATATAGGGTCATAGATGTGTAGCTATTCTGCATATATTTCCATTATCCAATCATTGAATAGTAAAATGGGCTGGAATTATACCAAATTGCAAACTATGCTATTCAAATGCTTGTCAAGTACTAATTTGTGTTGTTTCTATCCTTATTTGAGAAAGGAGACTCTATAGAGACCTAACCTAGATCTTTTAAGAAGAGAGACCATTTTGATTGCACATTTTTGAATCATTACATAAATGCATCCCTCATGTATGTCTCATTCCAACAATGGGAGGTAATAACAATCAGCACAAGTCCTTGCTGCTGATCAATCTGGCTTCAGCCCTGAGATTCTTAATATTCTTGGGTTGCAGAGCTAATCAGGTTTTACATTATATTTGCACAAGAAATATGAGAGTATATCCTTACACATTTTTCTCTGTTCCTTACAATTAGTGCAAGATATTTGCTCAGCTAATAACCTTTCTTGTCCACTTTCCAACTTATATCAATCTGCTAAATAAAACTTGTACTAGAAGCAAATCACAACTCCATATTCTATATGAAATTTTTTGTTTTGCTTGTTTCTAATTTTATGAAACATTTTAAATTTTATTGAATCATTGTGATTGACAGTGGCACAACTGAAGCAGCTCATACAGCCCCTCCAGCCATTTCATCTATGTCAGAGATGGCTGTGAGTCCTGCTTCGGCGGCGTCAAGCAATCATTTTCCTTTTTCTTCTGAGATATCTGGGATAGGTTTGGATGTGACAGCACTTGATACAACCTTCCCACCTGATGTGGTGAATTCGGGAGGACTGCAATTAGGTTCCGATGGTGTGGGAACTTCAAGAGACTCAATCAGATCATCAGGACAGCTTTGGAATTTCAGTCTTTCAGACCTAACAGCAGATTTAACAAATTTAGGAGGTAAAGTTGCTCGTGGAATATGTTAAGTCACATTTACTATCTTGTTAAAGTGATGTTAATGAGGTAGGACCCTACAAATAGTTGCAAATTTGACTTCCAATATAAGGATGGCTTGCATATGGTATACGTGTTTGATCATTCAAATTAGTATATAGATTACTGCTGCATAAATTAGCACATAATAATATGATTAATGGATGTGACTAATCAGTAATATGATTATCCTATTTCATTATTTTATATAGCTTACTGTCTTTCCTGATTCGGTTGACATCACAATGCTGATTTGTAGATCTTGGAGTTCTGGGAGACTACGATGGTTCTCCTTTCTTGCCATCAGACTCGGATATTTTGCTCGACTCCCCAGAACCGGACGATATAGGTAAATCTAAACCTTTTTTCTATTTTCTAGTCTCATGGAGTGCAACACAAGGGTTTTCCCTAATGACAAAAAGTGGTGACTTGGAACATTTCTCTGCCCAAGCTTTGTCGAATGCTAATGATTGGCCTCACAACACTTGAGGAATGTTTTTGACAGTCCTTGTTCGGTACTTGCTGTTTCAGTTGAAGAATACTTTGCCGATGTCGCCACTGGATCATGCCCTCATCAATCAGATGAAGAGAAATCTTAGAGACACCAGCGAAGCCAAATTTTTGCATCTGCACTCCATTGGTAGACTGTACGAGCAATATGCTGCGTCTCCAAATATCACAAGTTAATAAAGCTGTTGTGTCATTTACAGCAGTCAGAGATGTGAGTAGCTGATGAGGGCTGGTCCCATTTACTGCTGATTGAAATTTAAGACAGAATATTATTCATATTTGGTAGATTGTTTATGCTACAACATTAAAAAAAAACAAAACTGCAGTGTGAGGGGCAGTTTTGTTGCCAGCTTTAGTTATTTGGCAGCATTGGCAATTTGCATGAGTGACCAAGCTGACATATGATTCTGGATTTAGTCAACTGAAAGCTACAGCTTTAACAGTGTAGGAGCTGCTGCTTGGCTTGGCTCTAACTGTGCTGCATTTGGCATTTCTACAAGCTAAAAGTAATAATCTTTTCCATATATTGAGGCAGATTCCATCCTTTCATACTAGTGTTGCATTGCAAACCTTTGGCATCTCCACAAGAATGAATGGCTGATGCTCTGTTTCTTAGTAGACCACAATCTCCCCCTCTTCATCCTTTATTTAAAATTTTTAACATTTTTAAATATATTGAATTATGATATTTTGAAAAACGTCAATTTTCGATAAGTTAGACGAATACTTACTTAAGGTGTTATTTATTCGATTTGATGCTATCGGCTAATCTTTCTCTCTCTAATCTGTGTCAAAACCACCCTACACTTCAAAGGCATTAAATCATCGGTACCCATAATCTACATGTTTAATTTGCTAAAAAAAACAAAGATATTAAATCATTGGTACCCATAATCTACATGTTTAATTAGCTAAAAAGACACTTGAGATGTCCAAAGCTCACCTAAGATGGGTCCTCACCACTAAAATCATAGTGTCGTGATCCTTCTAAGGGTTGCTTCCTCTTCTCGGATAGCATGGAGACACCCTTAAGAGGGTATTAATAAATATATATATATATTTTTTATGTAAAAGTTCTCTCTAATAAATCTCTATATTCTTCCCCCCCAACCCAAACAAAACAAAAATGGTAGTATTATGTTCCCGAGAAATATATGGAAACGGATTTGATCAAAGCATACGCCAAAGCGTGTGATGAAGATGAAGAATCAAACATGAAGTGTTGATGCATCATCTTAACTTTGTTCTCGAACTGCTCGCTCTCTACGTGAAGGTGATGTTTCTGCAGCTGACTGGTCTCTCGTCAGAAGAATAGATTGATCGCCTGCAGTGCTTTGGAGAGGAGTCACCGAGTTTGGATTGCATTCCTTCTTATTACATGATCGAGAAAGAGAAAGAGATAAGAGTAGTTCTTTCTATCTTTGCAATCCAACACACAAAACGACTTGCTTTCTGCGTTCCATGTCGACCATCAAGCTTCGGCTTCAGGGATGCTCTCCAGCATCGGTCTCCATGCACCGCCACGGCTTGATCCATTGCGTGGAGCCTCTGTCCTTGCGTTGAGCTCCTCTACGATCTCGGCCACCATCGCCTCTTCGCCTCGGACGAACATAGCCAACAACCGAGCTGCCTCCTTCTTGGTCAGCACCACCTTCATTGTGACAGCTCCCTTCTTCTCGCAGAGACTCGTCTGCCGCCCAGCTGAAGTCTTCGGCTTCTTCGACTTGCGAAGCCAGCCTCGTAGGATGCCGAAAGCATGGAGCTTTCCGATCTCTGCACCCTTGGCCCGAACCAAGCAACCAAACAACTTCCTCATCGAGAGAGAGAAGGGGGGGGGCACAAAGATGGAACGTAAGGAGGCACACTTTAAATAGGAGATCGCTGATGATGAGAATTAAGAGTCCAACAGTCAAAAGGGAGAGCATGCGAGGGAAGGAGGGACAGCCCGCCAAGGATGGAAGTTTGAAGGATTCGCAGCTATTGCGATCTAAATGTGACGCACGTCTTTTTCCTTGAAACAGAGGCAGGCCAACAACCCTGTAGCCTCACAGCGTGAAGCTAGAAGAATCTTCAAGCATGCGCTCGAGGCATCAGCTCGTTCTTCTTTTGGAGAAGAGGACATGACAGCCAACCCAAGAAACCTCAATTTTCTTCTCCAAGAGGACATGTGCTTCGCCTTTATAAGATGGATAGATTCTTTTCATCTCCCGACCGTGTATTGTTCTTCAGAAAAAGAATAAATCATGTTTAAATTTGCAGGGGAAGGTTGAACTGAGGAACTCATTCATGAGCATTAAACATCCGTTTCAGGTTTAATTGGCCGCCGGACAGGACACACAGCAGTTGCCAGTTGGATAACTACACATGTAGAGAGAGAGAGAGAAGCAAACGAGGAATGCAGCAGTATGTGGGTTCTGCTTACAGAATCAAAAGTGGTCAACGCGGTAGGAAGGCGTCGCTTTCAGATGGTAGGTGTCCCCATTGACTTGAGAGTATGGGATTTGCGGTGTTTTGTCTCCGACAGCCGATTAATTATTTCTGCTTGTGGATGAAAACCACGAAGAAAACGTGGGTGACATGTGATGAGTCGTTGACGTCGGCGGAGGCCGAACAGATGATCCTCACACAAACAGCTCAGACATTGTTGACCTTTCTCATCGTCAACACTGCTCGTAGAAGAAGAAACAAAAGATCGACTTCAGTGACATCAGAAAGAAGTATTGTCTCTAAGAAACCCTTTGAATCTGCCTCTTCTCAGTTACATTCGCTAACAGAGGTTTTCAGCGACAAATACCAAACATGCTAATGATGCTTTCTGAGAGGCCTCTCATGCAGATGACAACAAGCAGCAAAGAGGGACAAAACCACACGATTACGCGAGAGAGAGAGAGAGAGACATAGTTGATGTAAATATAGGAGAATGACATAACGTAGATAGTGAACTGCTCCATTACAATATAGGAGAATGACATGATGTAGATGAGCAGAGATAGTTGCCGTCAAATTTGGACAACATGAAAATTATAATGTTGTTTGACATTGTAGCCATTAGGAAAGAAAGAAAACAGTTAGATAAATGTTGAAGCATCTCAACTATAAATGATTTGAATTCATGACCGTCACAACACAATGTTGTAAACACCAATCCGACCCCTCCTGAAACTTACAAAACATCACTTAAAATGTCATGGGATACACACAAAAGAGAAACTTGCAAAACATCACTTGAATTCCAAGGGATACCCACAAAAAAAGAAACATATGGCATTGGTTCAACAAGAAGCTGAAAGATCAGCAACTCGATGAAAAAGTATGATGAACCGGTGCATTGAAGTTTTTGAGATTGCATTAAATCATCAGAAAATTAAATACCATCATCTCCGGAGGACAGGATTTAGCAATAATCACTGGGCCAGCACCTTCAAATCTCCGTGTCGCAGCAACTTATAAGTAGTTCAGAAACCATTCGCCGAGCAAAAGGAACATAACTCAAGCTGTACCTGCAACGAGCACGATGTTTCAGATTTGGTAAGACCCAGCAGGTACTATTTCCGAGATACCAATTGTTGACTTTTTGCTAAACAAATTCTGAGTAAAGTGGTTTCAGTTTTTTATTGTTTTCTTCAGAAATCACTGGGGCCTAGTGACAAGAACTAAACTTTAAAAGTTAGATCAAAATTACTGTGGTAGCATTCTTTCATGATTGGGCTCAGGTCGTTTACAAAGTTATGGAATAAATCTATAAGAAAAAAATACATTCCTTAGTGAGAAGTGGCAATCAAGATTGTTCATCGAACATTAAATTTTTAAAACAGAGGTAGATGCTCCAGAAGCTGCATTAAACAACTATATTCAATATAATTTTATCAAGATCTGTTGCCCACTTTCCCAAGAAACAATGAGAAAAAAGATTGACCGTTTGTGGTCATGGATTTGACTTCTAATGACAGAAAATATTCTTAGATTTGACCTACAAATTAGAAGCTTATAGGTAAACTAAAATAATTTGGAGACTACAGCTATGACAGTTTCCACACTTTCTTTTTATTATGACAAAAAAAAAATCAAAATTCCTGAGTTTTTTCATCAGTTGCTTCCACAATATGGTAAGTCAGTGATAAATGGTGATTCCTCATCTTACCGTCTATAAGAGAGCATTGGGTGTATCTTCCAAGGCAAAGTTTGGATACAATGCCAATCTATAAAGATTTAATTATGTCTAGACTTTAAGAATAGCAATTGATTAGCTTCAAGGATAAGAGTGTACAACAATTAGCCAAGCACAAACACGTATCAGTATCATCCAGTGAAAGAAAGGCTGGTGAAAAAAGGCATACAGCATAGTTATCTTCGTCTCACCTTATTGAAGTGCAGCTAAACACTTAGGCAAGTCAGCTCATTTTTATGATTGGAAGTTGCGTAGGAACCATGAGAATTCTACAATTTGTAGATACCTTTTCCTTTATTTAGTTGCCAATACAACAAGTAATGAAGTGCAGCTAAACACTTAGGCAAGTCAG